AGACTGGTTACGCCAGTGCCACTCTCATATTTCTGCACAGTGTCCTTCTTTTCAATTGTGATTGATTTCTTTACATTTCTGTCCTTTAGTGTCTTTTCTACCTTTTTGGGGGGCCATTTTGATGGCAGTAATCATAGTGATTATATAAAACACTGACTGAAATCATGTCCACAGACATGCTCATCTGGGCTCAGACTAAAGCTTACATATGCTTTTCTGACATAAGGAGTGTTTGTTTACAACTGCACAAACAGCTGGCATTTGGGTTGTATCTCAAGACTTTGGTTATGAGACAAACCGAAAATTTAATTCCCAAGTTGTTCATATATGGGGTAGTTGTAACTCATAGGTCCATTGTAGCTTGATAAAAACTGAGGAGAGGGCTAGGGGTTTATCTTAGTGGTTCCGCTGCCTGCCTCACAAGCGGAAGGACCCAAGTTTGATTCCTGGCACAAAAACAAAAACACTGAGAAGAATGCTGTATTTTTAGGTGACTTCTCTAATGATGAAAGGTATTATCCTAAGATAGATTGTTGAATGGGCAAATTAAGAAATTCATTTGTTTTAGGGATGCTAAGTTGGTCAAATTCTGAGATGTTTTTCTTCTAGCCATGCAATCTCAAGGAAATCCTTTCATAAAATTTACAGTGTCATTTTATTAACATATATGAATGTGGCTTTTCCTATGTCATGGTCACCTTGAAGAGTGTGTATTGCAGGGGGGTTCTTCCACCCACAGTGTGGCTTCAAAAATCAAGACTGATGATGCCATCCAGAAACTCAGAGAATGTGGAAAAATTATTCATATAATAGGGCCTTCTGGGGGAGAGTAGAGCAGGCTTTCAAAATATACCAATAGGTAGGGGACTGGTTTGATTTGTAACTAGGTGCAGGGTGCAGGGTGCAGTGTGGAGCTAGAGTAAAGGTTCTCACCCTTTGAGCCTTGGTTTTCAGGGTTTGAATTTCCAGCAATGCCAAAGGAAGTTGTACTCACACTTTCTTATCTACTTGCCCAGACTGGGGGAGAAGAAGGAAGAGGCTTGAAAGCTGTTTGTATTCAGACTTTTGTTTGCTAAATTCATCATCACTCAATGTTCAAGTCTTTCTTTTTATAGCTGTAAGCAAGGTGGTTGAAAGAGGCTACGTGCATCTTTTCCTGTTAGAAACTGCTCTGTCTAGCTCCCCAAGATTGTATCTTTTAGATATGGAAATAAAAATCTCAGAGAGGAGGAACCCATGATGGATCAGATATTAGTATATCGAGAGGGACTTTGAAATAATTATGATTATTTTATTCAAGAAAAGGAAGAAATGGGCTGGGGATTTAGCTCAGTGGTTCTACTGCCTGCCTCACAAGTGCAAGGACCCGAGTTCGATCCCTGGTACCAAAAAAAAAAAAAAGAAAAGGAAGAAGTGGACAAAAGTTGGAAAGTGTTAATAGAGAATTTAATCTATTTAAAAAAGAGTTTAAGGGCCAGGGATATAGGTCATTGGCACCATGCCTGCCTGAAATGTAAGGTCATGAGTTCAATTCCTAGTACTGGGGAAAAAAGAAGAGCTTAAATATTTAAAAACTGATTCTAATGAACATTATAGAACTAAAAAGTAACATCTAGAATTAAGAATTCATTCAAAGGGTTTAATAGCAGATTGGGTACAAGATATTAGAATTAGGGAACTAGAAGTGAAAAATATATGAATTTCTAATTAGATTGGGCTAAAACATCAGGATTATTCTTATTCTTTCTTATATTGATGCCAGTTTCTGCTTTCTTCCCATATCCTAAGTACAAAGCTTCACTGTTTTGGTTGTCTTTTAATTTTTAAAAAAAGTATTTATTGACAAATAAAAATTATATTTATGGTATATAATATGTTGCTTCTTAAATATCTACATGTTGTTCATTGGCTAGGTTGAGCTAAATACCATATATATTATCTCACATGTTGATCTTTTTTGTGTGAAGAGAATGCCTAAAATATACTGTCTTACAAGTTGCAGAATACAGTACATTATTGTTAACTGTAGTCACCATGTTACACAGTAAGTCAAAATTTGGCTTTATTCCTCCTATCTTTGAGTCAGGCAGTGCTAGGGATCAAACCTAAGGCCTCTTGCATGCTAGGCAGTCTCCCCACCACTAAGCTGCACTCCCAGCCTTCTGTTCCTTCTAACTAACTGAAATTTTGTTGTCTTTTTTCCTCCCTATTCGTTTTGTATTTTTTTATTGAGACATTGTATTGCTATGTAGTTCAGGCTGGCCTTTCCCTGTTTCCTGTTTTCACATACTGTATGCCTACTGAAGATTTATTTCCCTGATCTCAGCAGACAGTAATAGGAAATTTTGATAGGTGACCCAGAATATCATTAGTGACATGCAATAAACAAAATTCTACTTAGGTGATTAGTACCAAGTAAATTTCACTACAAGTGATAATCAAATTAGGGTCCCAGAGAGATGATTCTGTTTCCCAGAAAATTAGGAAAGCAATGACGGAGCTCTGTTTTCAGAGAAGTTTAAGTTAAGAAAATGGATTATGAAATTGTGGCAGGAAACAAACCTGGGATCCATGATTACAGAATAGAGTTAGCTATATGGTCCATAGACAAAAACTTAAGGCCATATATAGCTCCATTCCTGGGACTGTACTTATGGTCTAACTTGTTGAGGGATGAGAAAGAATGATATTAATGAACTCAAACCAGGCCAAAAACAAACAAACAAACAAAAAACTGTAATTGTTAAATTACACTGTAATTGTTAAATTACACTGTAATTGTTAAAACTGTAAATTGTTAAATTTCTGCTTTGATGAAACTAAGCTGGTCCTAAACTATAGTGATGTTTTTGGTATGAGAATTGAAAGACTGAAGTCAGGGAACTAACAGTCAATATGCTATATATTGGTATGTAAGTGCTCTTTAATTCAGTTACAAAAGTAGCTTATATAGTGGCACGGTGCCTGCCTGGCAAGTGTGAGACTCTGAGTTTGATTCCTGGTACAAAAAAACAAAAAAAGTAAAATAAAAAGCTAGCTTATATAAAAATTTGTTATTTTCTCTTTGGTCTGTGTCTACTGTCATAGGGTAAATCCTAAATTTGGCTGAATAGACCTAAAATTTGAGTTATGTAATAGTCATATATATTAAATATACAATGTATAAAATGAACATGTGAAATAATTTACCTCTACAGAAAAGTAATGTAGGCTCTATTAGTGTCCATCCCTAACCCATCTGTTACCGAGTTCTAACTTAATCTCAATTTATTGCTAAAAAACTATGTAGGAAACAATTTTTATCTTACAGTGGATCTCATTTCAATATTAAAATGGTTAGACTTAACTTTTATTCTATATTTGTGTGTTTTGTAGCTCACAACTCTGGAATGGTAATTAATAATTACTGTCCTCTCAGAATAAAAGCTTTTGTGTTACCTCTCTCCCCCTTGTATCTGGGTCTTGCCTATTTCAGAGAATGTGAGGCCTGGGCTTTATTTAGTTATTCTGCATCCACTCATGTATTCACATCATTTCTGAATACTTACTATATGCCAGGTCAAAAACACATTCACTTGCTACACTCAATTTACCGTGTTTCTCTTTGCTAGTCTTTTATGTAGGGTGAAAAGCAAATCACACTAGTTTTCTCATTAATCTTTGAAGTTGGATTGGTATAAATGTTACTTTATTTGAATTCTAATTTTTGAGTTGTTCTTACCACCAGTAGTTAAAAGAAAAACATGAACAAAACAAGATTTTCATAAGAGATTTGCTGAAAATCCAAGACCATCTTTTTCTTTATTTTTTTTTTTACTCTCAGCATTTAAAACCCAATTAGAATTCATTGTTTTTGGTTTTTGTTTCTTTTTTTTCCCTTTGAATAGTCTGTGAAGCACAGCCTATGTCTTTTAGTCTTTTTATTTTCCATTGTTCACTATGGTAATTATATATATTTTAAATGTAAGGATTATTGAGGTATAATTTACCCTTTTAGGTAACTCAATCATTTGAAATATAAATTAAATGAGCTTTGACAAACATGTATGGTCATTTCTGCTGCTAAAATCAAGATATACGCTTGGGCTGGGGATTTAGCTCAGTGGCACTGCACCTACCTGGCAAGTGCAATGTCCTGAGTTCGATTCCTGGTACCAAACAAAGATATACCCCAGAAAGTTCCCTTATGGTGCTCCTATCACCTCCATTCCCTGGCAACAATTAATATGTTGTCTATCCCTGCTGTTTTAGCTTTTCCAGAATGATGTATAAATAGAATTATAGTAAATGGAACAATATTTGCTCCTATGTGGAAGGAAAGTACTGGGAATTGAACCTTTGGCTTCCTGCATGCTAAGCATGTGCTCTACCACTGAGCTATACTCCCTTTACAGTTTGCTTCTTTTTCATTAAGTAATATTTCATTGTATGAGTATACCAGAGTTTGATTATCCATGCAACAGTTGTTACACTTGAAGTTACCTTTATTTTCTGGCTATTACTGACAAAACCACTTTAAACATCCATTTGGGGCACTACCCTTTAAACAAGAGAAGCTTAAAGATGGTTAAGTATGATAGTATTAAAATTGTTTAGTGGCATGGCAACGTAGACAGTATAGACTATAGAGTCATTTTGTCTCTAATTCCAATCCCAAATGGTGTTGCTTAATGAATGTTATTTACTTTGTTTTATTTTGTTTTTTGTGTTTTGAGACAGGGTCTTGCTGTGTAGTCCAAGTTGGCCTTGAACTCACTATGTAGCCTAGGCTGGACTTGAACTCTTGGGTGTCCTCCCACCAGCCTCCTGAGTGCTGGGATTACAGGCATGTTCTACCATGCCTGGTGCCTAAAAACGTTTAAGTCCTTATAATGTTAAACTTTTAATTAACTATGTAATTCAACTAATTTCATACTGAAAAATTATTTTGGTAATATTAGTAATAGAATACTTGATATTTTCTTATTTTCTTTTTAATCCTTACTTTTTCTTTATTTTAGATGGGTCTAGGAAAGACAATCCAGGCAATTGCAATTGCTTACTTCTATAGAGAGGAATGGCCTCTTTTAATAGTGGTCCCTTCATCTCTGAGGTACCCTTGGATAGAAGAAATAGAGAAGTGGATCCCAGAGCTAGAGCCTGAAGAAATCAATGTTATTCAGAACAAAACTGATTTTTGGTAAGAACAACTTTTAATATTTAAGAAAAAAAGAAAAGACAGGGCCAGGGATTTAGCTCAGAGGCACTGTGCCTGCCTCACAAGTACAAGGTTCTGAGTTCAGTCCCTGGTACTGAAAAAAGAAAAAAGAAATCTTTCTGCATATTTAGTATATATTCATGTTTAGGATGAAATATTACCTACAGATATCATTTAAAAATAAGATAGTAATATAGAGAATTTTATTTTACAGTTTAAAATCTGAATTATTGATCTGAAGCCCAATAATGTTTTTATTTCTAAGTTCCCTTATGGTATGTTTTATTTTATTTTAGTAATTCTTTTAGACACAGTCTTGCTATATATATAGCTGATTGGCCTTGAACTGACATGTAGCCCAGGCTGACCTTGAACTTGTGGCAGTCCTCTTATATCAGCATTTTAATGCTGGGATTACAGGTGTACATCACCACGCCTGGCTTCGTGGTTTTGTTTTGTTTTTTTTAATTTTGGTTTCTAGCAGTAGAATAAGTCAACCAATTTGAAAACTGATGTGATTACATTGAATATCTAGTTAAATGATACATATTATCATATTACCAAAGGTTCAAAGCTGTTTCTCAAACTTAAAAGGCAATGCATCTACCTAAATAAAACATCTGTTAATTCTTAGAATATTTGAGTTTTAGTATTATTCTCTTGCACTACATTCATTAATACTGTTAATTTAAAGACTGTGTAGAAATAACTTTGACCTTTGTGAATTTGGAATGAGGAAACAGACAAAATACTTAGATAGAGGGCCTTTTCTCTTTCAGAGTTGGAACCCTAATTCACAAGCATATATCTTTGTAGGCCCATGAAAATCTGAACACTATTTGTATACTTAATATAAAATGTAGGGTGGTGTTATAAATAGATTTCTCTCCTCCAGTGAAAGTACTTAAAATTTTAAAAACCCAAGAATTTAAAGAATGTTGAATTTACCAAGGCTTTCACAACTGTTTTCTGTCATCTATACCCTACTTAAATATCTACATATAAGTTTTCTTAAAATTTGTCTGCTCTATCATCTTATATAGCATTTAGGTCATGAGTGCCGTAACCAGTACAGGTGAACCTGAAACCTAAGTGGGAGCAACAGGAGATAAGGAAAATATATAGACACACACATAAAGAGAAAGCTTGGGCCAGGTGGGACACAGCTCTCTGATGGGGAAACTGCATGCCGGTGCCTGGCCAGCATGTTTATTTTATACAGTTTTCAAGGAGGTGTATTTAGGGGCCATTTCAGAAAGAACAAGCTTTTTGTATTATGTTGAGAATGTAGAAAGTAGGACATTCTCAAGGCTAGCTACCCTTTGTTGTAGTTAGTTATCACGAACATGAAGCTTTCCATGATGTTTCCCTTACCACATGAGCTAAAGGTCAGGAACTGAGTACAAGAAGTGTCTTTGACAGCTTAATGTCCCCAGAGCCAGGCTTTGTACATTACTCAAGGGTTTCGCTAGAGACCATTGGCTCAGTCACTTCCTACAGCTCCCTACACATGAGAGTTTTTTGTTTGTTTTTGTTTTTGCACTACTGGAGATTCAACCCAGGGCCTTTGTATTGAGTTATATCCTCAAGATCTTTTTTGTTTCTCATTTTCAGATGGTCTTGCTAAGTTGTTAAACTGCCTAGACTGGGCTCAAACTTTTGATCCTCCTGCTTCAGCCTCCTAAAGTGCTGAAATTACAGGTGTGTACCACCACACCCAGTTTAGGTCATCAAATAGTTTCTTTTTTTATTTGTAATTAAATAGTGGCTGATACTTTTATTTGAATAATGTTTTGTATTTGTTAGATAGAACTACAACCTTAGAGTGTGTTTTTCGCAGGATGTTAACTAAGCACAGAAAAACTACTCAGTGCCTTCTAGATCTTTAAAGAAGCATTTAAAGCTTCTTTAAAGCCCTGGATAATTCTACAGAGATGATTTTCTCACTATACTAAAGCAACAGAATAGCCCAAAAGAAGAATAACTAAATTAGGTAAACTTTGAGCAATATACAGAAGACAAAGACTTAGAAGGTTATTGTAGCAGGCTCTATAGCTTCTATTTTGCTATGTCTTGACTAATGAAAGATTCTTTAAATGCAGTTGCCATTTAAAAAACAAATACATGTGCTGTGGTGAAATTGGCTACTTTGAACCTCTGGCTTTTCTTTTAAAGGTTAGAGAATGGCAGAAGACTGACTTTGTCCTGTATTTTTTCATTGGCGATAGAAAAAATGCCAAAGTGATATGTTTTCTGTTCACAGACTTGTCAGATTATCTCATTATATAAATGTTCATTGGGAGTATAGAATTATATATAACAAAATTTAAAGAATACATACCCTGCCCTCACCAATCTCATGACATAATAAGAGAGGTATGTAAATATGAAATATGTAAATGATTATTTCAAGAGAGCAACATAAAGACATACTATTACAGAGGTATAAATTATAGAGATAAAAAGAATATGGATCACTTTATTTAATAGTTCTCTATGTAGGGTGGTACCCTCCTTTTCTTTTATCCACAGTTTATCATCCCATTTGTCACCATGAGTGGGAGACTCTACTGTCATTAATGGGGAAGACCAAAAAAATTAACTGTGCTATAGTTCAGTAGACAGTTTGTTATACTAAGGTTTGTCCTGATCAAAATACCAGTAACACCCACGTTGAGAAAGTTATCCTAGTTTCACTGAAGAGTCAACTAATATTTGAATATCCAGTTTATGTATGACCTGGGTGCACAGAAGCAAATAGTGTTGTAATGTTCTTGTCCTAGAAAATGTGACTGATAGAATGTAAAAATTTTCCAAAGACAACTTGAACAACAATTGTTTAAAATTGCCAAAGTTTAAATTTTAGATCCTGGTTTATCATATATGAAGACTGTAAAATCTTAGAAAAATTGAGTTTCAGCAGTAGTACACTCTACTTCTACAACACCTCTTTTCATCTTCTGTTTTATTCCTCAAAAAGTTGTATTATTTATATGAATTAATGACTGAGACATTTTAAAGAACACATATTTTCTTTTCCAGGAGAATATCGACCAGCAAAGTGACAGTTCTGGGCTATGGTCTTTTAACCACTGGTGCAGAAACTTTGATAGATGCCCTAAATAACCAGAACTTCAAAGTCGTTATAGTGGATGAATCACACTATATGAAGTCTAGAACTGCAACTCGCAGCAAGATCTTGTTGCCAGTAATACAGAAAGCCAGACGAGCTGTTCTTCTTACAGGAACTCCAGCTTTGGGAAGACCTGAAGAGGTATTACAATCTTTATACTAGGGGGGCTTAAAAGGAAATTCAGTCAATTTTTAAAAAAATAAATTTTATTTTATCCCATTCCCCACTCCTCTTGAATTATGTCCCTCCTGCAATGAGTCATGTTTTGCAAATTTTAGTTTCAAATTAAATGCCATGGGTGGTGGCACATTGCCTATAATCCCAGTTATTTGGGAGGCTTAGGCAGGAGGATGGCAGATTAAAAAATCATCATAGATAACATAGTGAGATTCTATCTTAAAACAAAAACAGGATAAGGATATATCTCAATGGGGGAATGTTTGCCTAGTGGTTCAAGCTCCATTACTGGGGGGGGCAGAAGAGTATATTTGGAATTTTTATACATCTGACATGATTAAACAGATCCCATTTTATGACTTTTTAACCTATTTACTGTAAACCTTAGCCATGCTTGCAGGTATGTACAGAAATAGTTTTTTGCCTTTATGATAAGGTTTCCATATTTAGAACAGATTTGTAATATTCTTCACATGTATTCTTGAGGTTCTTTTGTAGTCTTAGTCTTCATTTATCATATTTATTTTACTTTATAAACGCCTTAAAATTAAGATTGAATCTACTTTTTTTCTGCTTTTATGCTGCTTTGCAGAATTTATCTCTGTTCCTCTTTCACTTCAAAATTCACATTTTGGAATGTAGAGAAAAACTACAGCTTGTGTATACTCCAGATAAGGTATCTACTTAGAATGAAAGAATAAGGAAGTTTCTTAATACTCGACATAGCTTTTGCTGCTATAAAGTTAGCATATGTTAATATGGAATGGTTGCTGGGTTGAGAAGAAGAAATGATGAAAATTTTCTGAGTCTGTAAGGTTCAGAATTCCCTAAGAAAACCCTGTCTACTAGTGAAAACTGAACCACAGGATACACATGGGCTATTCTCTTGTAGTGTTGCTTGGAGAAGTAAAAGAAATACCTGTCCCCATTTGCAAAAGATCTCTATGTTACACAGAAAGCATTCAACATATAGTATTCACTATTAACTATTAAATCAAACCTGAGTGACAGCTGTTATCATTGTATCTCTACCAGCATTACCGGACACCACTTTCAAATTCCCTCACTTGAAATCTGAGAGTCTTATAATATAGTGAGAGCAAAATGCTTAATTTTACTTTTTCATAATTTTTACTCTTTGATACCTACTAGTATTGAGAGAATAGATCCCAATTAATTTACTTATGTTCCCAAATTATATTGAGTAAAAGTGATGATATATTGATTATAACTTTAAAAAATGAGATTTTTTCAAGAGAACATATAAAAGATACATCTATTTAAATGACAATAAAACAAATTCACATGCATTTATTATCTAGCATGAGAAATAGAATGCTGATAATACGACAGTGCCATTGTGTCCCACTGTGATCACATGTTAGTATTTTCACCTTTCACCCAGGATAGCCCTATCAAAGCAAGCATAAATCTTAGTTTGTGTGAACTTAGGAATGTACCATTTATATTTGGGACTGTTTAAAAAAAAGAATATTAAAATTACAAATTCTGAATTAGGGATCTTAAATTTAGGGAGGACAAGTCCTCTAATTTTGTATGTATATATGTATTTTTATTTTTTCTTTAAGACATCTTACTGTGTAGTTCAGGATGTCCTTGAACTCACTGTGTAGCACAGTAGCACAGACTGGCAGTGAACTCTTTGCATTTCCCCCTGCTTCAGCCTCCTAAGTGCTGGGATTACAAGTATGCACCGCCATTCCCACCTTTGTATTTATTTTTAAAGATTGTTTTGTTTTGTTGTTGTTTTGTTTTGTTTTTTGAGATGGGTCTCACTATGTAGTTGAGACTGACCTGGAACTCACTATGTAGCCCCAGGCTGGTTTCGAACTCACAGAAATCCTCCTGCCTCAGCCTCCCTGAGTGCTAGGAGTACAGGCATGTGCCACCATGCCCGGCAGCTTTCAAGATTGTTTTGGATATTCTGGGTCCCTTGAATTTCCATATGGATTGTTTTATCAGCATGTCAATTTTTACAAATAATCCAGCTTCAATTTTTTTATATGTACTGTGTTTAATGTATAAATTGCTTTGGAAAATATTGCTATCTTACCAATATTTAGCCTTCAAATTCATGAATGTGGAATGTTTTCCCCTGCATTTTTATGTCTTTAGTTTTCTTCCAACAGTACTTTGTAGTTTTCATTGTATGCTGTGTTTCTGTAAAATTTATTCAGTATTTTATTTATTTGTTTATCCTGATGGAAATGGAATTGTTTTCTCAGTTTCATTATTGAATGTTCATTGCTGAGTTAAAACACAGTTGATTTTTGTGTGATTTTCATGTCTTGCAAATTTGCTGAATTCATTTATTCAATAATACTTTCATGAATCCTTAGAATTTTCTATAGGAGATCATGGCAACTGCAGAGAGTGATAGTTTTGCTTCTTCTTCAGTCTTCATGATTTTATTTCATGCTCATACTTCAAGTTCAGTGTTAAGTAGAAGTGGCAAGAGTTAGCATCCTTGATTTAGTCTGATCTTAGGAAGAAAGTGTTTAGCTTTTGACTTTGAAGTATAATATTACTTTGTAGTTTATCCTTGATTTCTTTCATTGGGTTGAACAAGTTCCTTACTATTTCTTCTTTTTTGACTGTTAAATTATGAAAAGATGTTGAATTTTGTAAAATGTATTTTCTACATCTATTACATTATCATGTTTTTGTTCTTTATTAACTTGACACATCACATAAATTTATTTTCAGACATTAAAACAACCTTACATTTCTTAAAATAACTCACTTGGTTATGGCATATAATGTATTTCTGGGTTTGGTTTGCTAATATTATTTTGATTGTTTTGTTTCCATTTATAAGAGATAATGGTCTTGCTGGGTGTGGTGGCGCACGCCTGTAATCCCAGCACTTGGAAGGCTGAGGCAGGAGGATCGCTGTGAGTTTGAAACCAACCTGGGCTACATAGTGAGTTCCAGGTCAGCTTCAACTACATAGTGAGACCCTGTCTTGAAAAAAAAAGAGAGATAATGGTCTTTAGTTTTGTTTTGTTTTTTTCCTTGTGATAATGTTGTCTGGCTTAGGTATCAAGGTAATATTGGCATCATAAGATGAGTTGGGAAGTGTTTCTTCCTCTTCTTTGTGTAAGTGTGTAAAATATTGATATTAGTATTTTTTCAAACATTTTGTGTAATTTAGTGATGAAGACATGTGGACTTGGGCTTTTCTTTGTGGCTAGTTTTTCTATTACTAATTCAGTCTCTTGACTGATTGTGACTCTTTAGAGTTTTTTTTCTTCAGTCAATTTTAGTATATTTTGTCTTTCTAGGTATTTGGTCATTTCATCTAAATTATCTTAATTGACAATTGTACATAATATTATTTTTATAATACTTTATATTTCTGTGAGATTAGTACTAAAATCCCCTATTTCATTCCTAATTTTACTAATTTGAATCTTCTCTTTTTTTGTCTTTGTCATTGTAGCTGTAGTTTTATAAATGTTACTCATCTTTTCGTAATCCAACTTTTGTCTTTGTAGGTTCATTTCTACTGTTTTGATTTTACTTTGCTATGTGTTTTCCAGGTAGAAAATTAGGCTTTTTGTTTAAGGTTTTTTTTTTTTTTTTGGTACCAGGGCTTGAAGTCAGGACCTTGAGGCACAGGCAGCAGCACCACTGAGCTAAATTCCTGGCATGCGCCACCATGCCAGGCTATTCTTTTTTAACATAGGCATATACAGTTGTAAATTATTTCTAATCCCTGCTTTTCCCTCAACTTGTATTTTGGTATATTGTGTCTTTAGCATAATTTATCTCAAGGTATTTGATTTTTCATTTGTTACATCAGTTATTTAAGAGTATGTAAAGATGTAGGGCCAGGGATTTAGCTCAGTATTTCTACTGCCTGCCTCACTGGTACCAAAAAAAAATAAAAGAAAGATGTACAACACCGAAGTTGCCTTGAAAAACACTTGGGCAGATCCCTTAGAATTTAAACATAAAAATTACTCTATGACCCCAAAGATCCATTTCTAAGTACTTTTTCTCCAAGTGAACTGGAGACATGTTTATAAAAGGTTACATTCAAATGTTTATAGTAGCATTATTCATATTATCCAAACTGTGGAAATAGATCACGTGTTCATTAATTAATCAATGGATAAAGTATGGTTTACCCTTACTATAGAATATTATTTGGCCATGCTACAATATGAATGAAACTTGAAAACACTATGCTAAATAAAAAAGCCAAATCAAAAGGCATATTGAATGATTTTGTTCATATAAAATATCAAGAATAGGCAAATTCATGAAAAAATAAAGTGCTTTAGTGTTTGATCAGACTAGAAGGGAGGGAAAATAGGCTGTTACTACTAATGGGTATGGGGTCTCTTTTTGGGATTAAAAATATTTCAAAAGTAGATTCTGGTAATAGATGTATAAGTTTATGAACATACTAAAAGCTATTGAAGAATAAGAACTTTCTGGTATGTGAATTATGACAATAAATTTGTTACTTTTAAAAAAACTACTAAGGTAACAGCAAAACACTACTGTATTTAGCCTGCAGGATTGTGAAAATGATGAAAAAAGCTTCATGGATACTATTTGTGAATGCGTAAATTGGGATAGTCATTTTATTGGCCAATATGATAACATTTATTAAGGCATCTTTCCCAAGAGGATTGGAGAAAATATATCCTAGAAACCTAGTAAAAATGCAGGTTAATGTACTGGTAGATAATTAATGTCACAGAGGATTATATGAAGTTATAAATTTTTAACTGCATAAATCTAGAAACCACCTAGATAGCCTATAAAATATTTTATAGTACATATACATAGTAGTGGGGTATGTGTTTAAGCCTTTAAAATACTTCATTATCACAATATTTTTTATTATAATTTTTAACTAAGTAAAAATATATGTACTTTAAATGTGTCTAGGACATAATTTGGGAACAGTTTTAATTGTATGACAGTATGTATACTGTCATGTAAATAAAAGAATATATATATTTATGTAGTATAGAAAAATATAAATTTATATTTTAAAAAGATAACTTGTTCCTGAGAAATGGGTGAGGTAGGGATATGGAGGAAAGAGGAGGGTTTAGATTTTCTTTCATACTTTTTACTGTTGTATTAACTTGTTTTATCTTCCTGACAATTTTCTTGGAAATATTACATTTTCAGAATACTTGTATTGTTACAGCTTTTCATGCAGATTGAAGCTCTCTTTCCACAAAAATTTGGAACATGGACTGACTATTCCAAAAGATACTGTAATGCACATATCAGGTATGACAAACTTTTTTCCAAGACCTTTTATCTTTTATGTATTTTCTGTGAACATTAAGCATTTTTAGTCATTCTTTGTTACAGTGTTTTTTCAAACTTGTGGCAGCTGTGACATAATTTTTTCAAGTAAAAGCTTGTGTGGATAACCTGCATGTAAAATAAGCAAAAGAAATACAAACTAGGGCTGGGGATTTAGCTCAGTGGTTCTGTTGCCTGCCTTGCAAGCACAAGGACCCGAGTTCAATTCCCGGTACCAAGAAAAAAAATAAAAAAGAAACAACAGAGTTTTTCTTTCTTTCTTTTTTTCCATTAAGTTTATTTGTACATTTTAGGTATACAATACAGTTACATTCATCATTACGATCTTGTGTCTTTTCATGATGTGTCTTAGCTTTTCTTTCTTTTTTTAACCTTCTACCTTTTTATCTTTAAAATTCTTTAGTTTTTATTCACTGGATATACATAGACATTATACAGAAATAAAAAATACATGCTGTTTTCACCCTTTTCTCCCAACCAAACATTTTTCTTGTAGGGTAATATTGGCAGTTTCTTGTACTGTATAACCTTCAGGAGATATCTGTGCTGAGCATTCATATAAAATTATTGTATTTTACATCTAAATACATAGTAGAATAATGTACACATTATTCTGCAGTTTGGTGCCTTCATCACGTATGTTGGAGATTCATGTCAGTTTATAAAAAGGCACTGACATTCATTTTATTATTCATTTATATATTTATTTTTCCAGTACCAAGGATCAAACTCAGGATCTTACACTTACAAGGCAGATGCAACACCAGTGAGCCATATCCCCAGCCCCTGACATTCACTTTAAATGCAGCATGTATCCATTTTTAGGAATTTATTTAGTAAATATTTGTTTGTATTATATAACTATTATAACAATGATTATCCCCATGTGTGTGGAGAGGTTGTGTATTACAGTGGTTTAAAATCATGGGAATTTGAGCTGGGCGTGGTGGCACACGCCAGTTATCCCAGCACTTGAGAGGTTTAGTCAGGAGGATCACTGTGAGTTCCAGGCCAACCTTGGCTATGTAGTGAGTTCAAGACCAGCCTGAACTACATAGCAATAACCTGTCTCAAAATACCCCCCGCAAAAAAGATCATGGAAATCTAGACAATATCACCTCTGTTTTATTTTCATTTCTACCAGTTTCCAGATGTTTTATGTGAAGAATGTAACTTTATCTCCCTATACTCAGTTTCTTCATCTCTGAAAGAAGGTCATGGTTATGCCTATCTCAAAGGTTATCATCAGACTTGTATTAGCTTATATCTTATAAAGGGCTTAAATAGTGACTTGCATAGTGAGTACTCAATAATTGTTAGCTGTTTTAATGTTTCATGCCATATACACAGGTATAATTTTATAAAAGTGATATTGCTGTTTCAAAGGGCATATACATTTTAGATTTTCCTTGGTCAGACACTCACAAGTTATGTTTGCACTAACCGTGTGTCAGGTTGTCTCTTTTCTGGTGCTTTGCCAATGTTGTAAAATATGATTTATTCTTGTCAATATGATCTGAATGTATTTGTAATATGCAATATGTTCATTTGTCTCATATTATTAAATGTAATTGAGCATTTTCTCATATATACATATATATGTCGTTTGTACTTTTTTCATTTTAATTGTCTATATCTTTTGTCTTTTTGTCTACTATTTGTCTACTTTTTGTCTAAATATATTGGTTTTTTTATTATTGATATGTTGGAAATTTTTACATATTCTAGAAATCTCCTTGTATGTGATAATTAATGGCTCTTTCATGTTTTTTTCCCCAATGTATATCTTTTTGTTTTAAAATATATTCTATTAATGCCTATTAACTTCACAAAATATTGAATTTCAATGTGGAATTTTCATCCATGGATATAATATATTGTGAACATATCTATGCCCACCATTATCCTCCCTTACACTACTCTTTCCCTTCCCTGCCTTTTTCCATTCCTTTTCTACTAACAGACTCTGTTCCCTTCCTTCTTATTCCATTCCTGTTTTCTCCTGGCAGTATCTCTTCTACTTTTACGTCATGATGTTCAGTTCTTCATTTTAGAAAAGCTTACAATAATTATCTTTCTAAGCTTGGCTTATTTTGTTTAATGTGATAGTCTGTGATTCCATCCATTTTTCTGTAAATTGCATAATTTTGTTTCCCTTTACGGTGGACTAAAACTCCATTGTAAAATACCACATTTTCTTTATCCATTCACCTGTTGATGGGCACCTAGGCTGGATCCATGTCTTGGCCCTTATGAATTGTGCTGCATTAAACATGGGTATGCAGTCTTTAATTCCTTCATTATATATCAAGGAGTAGTACAGCCAGATCACATGATAATTCTATTTTTAGATTTTGAATTAACTCCATACTGATTTCCATACTGGCTGTGCAAATTTACATTCCTATCGCTAGCAGAATAGAAGAATTCCTTTTTCCCCTACATCCTAGGCTGATGTTACTATTGGATTTTTTCTTTCTCTTTTTTGTATTTCTTTAAAATAGCAAATCACTTATTGGTACATTTTAGACATACACAATGATAACTCTCATCATAGGGAATTTGCACTTGTTTATGTTACCTCCTGCCTCTTTCCCACTACTGGAGTGAAATGGAATATCAGTGTAGTTTTGATGTACATTTTTCTGATAGCTAAAGCTGTTGAACCTTTTTTTATTTACTTATTGGACATTGTGCTTCTTTTGAGAAGTATTTGTTTAGTTTATTTACCATTTATTGATTGGGCCATTCGACTTTTTGTTATGAAGTGTTATGAGTTCTTTATTGTAGATACCAATCCGCTGTTCGAGGACTAGCTGGTACAGATTTTCTCCCATTTTGTAGGCTGTTGCTTTAGTCTGTCAGTTGTTTCCAATATGCAAAGCAACTTATTTATGTAGTCCCATTTGTTGATTCTTATTGTTGTTTTTAGTGCTGTTGGAGTCCTATTTAGGAAATCTTTGCATGTGCCTATACTTCAAGTATTTTTCTTATGTTTTTTTCTAGCAGTTTCACTTTCTGCTCTTATATCTAGGTCTTTGATCCATTCTGAATTGATTTTTGTACAGGGTAAAAGGGATCTAGTTTTAGTTTTATACAAGTGCATATAGTTTTCCCAGCACCACCTGTTGCTTTTCTCTAACAGCTTTTAATATTCTAATCTTGTGTTGAATTTCTTAAATCTTGACTAGTATGTTTCTTTGTGTAATTTTTTATTGATAATACATAATTGGAGTTCTATATGCCTCTTACTGTATGTCCACTTACCTGTATGTCAAATTCTTTATCCCTCCTTCGGAAAGTTTCTGCCATTACTTCTGTGAATATCTTTTTTATGTCATTTGTGCTGGCTCTTGTTTTTTCGTTGATTCCACTCTATTTTATGTTATTCTTCTTTTCATCATCTGGCAGCTGTTGGATTGATTTTTCATATTCCTTTGCTGTTTTAAAGAAATCTGTCTTTGAATTTCTTCTTGGCCGTTTGGCTAAGATCAAGTGTAGAAATCTTGTCTTTTCATGTTCACTAAACAGTCCTTTTTTCTCTTATATGATATTCTGTCCTCACACTGGTTGGTTCTGTTGTGAATACTTTCAATAGAATATTTAATCTTCTGGATATTGAGTATTTAATGGTTTCCATCATTTTCCTGAGCTCCTCTTTTTTTTTTTTTTTTTTTTTTTTTTTTTTTTTTTTTTTTTTTATTTTCACTGTGGTCATCATCTCTGTAGTTTTCTGAAAAACTATTTCTGCTTTGATTTTTTCTAGCGCCTTATTCATCTGGTTTGGTAGTTCTGCTGTTACCACTTTAGAGACTTGAGAGAGTCCAGGTGGGTGGCTTTTGGATTTTTCCATTGCTCCCTGGGTTTGCCTTTGGTGAGCTAGAAGTTTTGGGCTGCATCTTGCTTAATTGTCTTCTCATTTTCTTTCTTTCTTTCTTCTTTAGTTCTTGGGTTGATGCTTGTAAATTGTTTATGGCAAGTAGTTTTATTACTATTGCTTAAAAAATACTTCTCAGATATCTTCCAGGTGTAGCTGGCTTTTGGGTTTTAAGTCTGTTGCAAAATCCTACCTCTAAACTTTATTGGGGATAAGAAGTTTCTGCCTATTTGGCCTAGCCTGTGGTTCTTTGGAGGTAGCCTATAGTACAGTATTGTTTATGACCCTTAGGCAATCTCAATCCTGGCACACCAGGTAGATTAGAACAAATAAGTCACCTTGGCTAAAATAGTAAAATCAGCAAAAATGATAGCATCACATACAGCCTAGAAAATGACACACTGTAATACCTATTAATTTGCCTCTTTTAACCATATCAACTAAATTTGTGGTTATATAACAAAATCTAAAACAAACCAGAAAATTGTATACAGTAAATATGCCCTCAGTATGGTGAGAAAAATTAAAAGAAATTAAGGGGACAAAAACTATTGAGAAATAGAAGTAGAGGAAGAGTTTAGAACTAAGGCTGGAGAAAACAACAAAACTAGAAACAATATTCACAGTTATATAAAAAAAAGAATAAACAATCAAAAGAAAATAAAAGGGAAAAATGTACATTTCTCTTTTTTTCTTTTCATTGAGTTTATTGGTACATTTTAGGTATACAGTACAGTTACATTCATCATTGGGATCTTGTACCTATACATGACAGGTCTTGGTTCTCACTTTTTTGTCACCCCTTGTCCCTGCCTTCCCTTCACCCCTCCTCCCCTCCCCATTTACAAATACTTTATTTCCATTTTTTCATTTTCTCATATTTTTTTTCTTTTCCCTTATTCCCTTTCCCCTACCCTTCCCAATTTCCCTACACCTTTAGCCCCTTTCTTCCTATTTCACATTGTTAATTGTCTCATTAGGATCTTGTGTATTTTTATAGTTTTCACACAAAAATATCCATTTCAGTGCATATGTCTGCATTCAAATCCATGTTGATTAATCCCAACAACCAGTGGGTTACGGA